CCAGAAGGCACAAGGGGACAAGGAAGCTGGTGATAGGGAACCCAAGGTTGAGTAAGGATATTGTTGATGTGTTGTGAGATTGTTAACCATTGTCATAGGGCAACATTTGTCGTAACTGTTAAATGAGAAACTATTTTGTTCTGTAAGCCTTTATCTTAAGTGAGAATAACAGCACATTTCGAAGAGCGTAGTCAATGTCACTGAACTGTGCATACAGAAATTTTTGAAATGGTGTATCTTTGGCTATGTGTATTTTCACTAAAAAAAAAAAAAGAGGTTGAGAAGTTAGAGGGTTGATACGTTGTGGGGTTGTTAACCAATGTTCTAAAACAACATGTGTACTTCTGTTTCATGAGAAACTATTTGTTCTATAAGCCTTCACCTGAAGTACAATTTAAATAAATAAATAAATAAATAAAATTTTAAAAAATGTCAGCTCCAGTACCAGACCACCTGGGTTCAAACTCCAACTGTGATACACTTTCAAGCTTTGTAAGTTTAGTCAAGTTTCCAAACTTTTCCTTGCCTCAGTTTTCTCATCTGTAAAATGTACATAATAATACCCACTACAAAGGGTTCCTAAAATCATTAAATGAGACAATAAAGTAAAACACTTGGTACCATGCCTGGCTGTTTATTTGATGCTATCACTGTCGCTGTTGCTGGAGCAACCTGACTGAATGAAAAAAAATCTGTGGAATGTGAGGCATGGGAGCACGAGGGAGCCGTATTTCCTGCCACAGAGGAAGCCAGTCTGTCACAAGAGAATAAAGCTAATATTCAGTGGGGTCACAGAAAGTGTCCTGGAGTCATGAGTTCCAGCTGCGATTTCCCTGTTACAGCTGCTTGATTTTTCCCTCTGGTTTTAAGATACCCCAGTTTCTTCTAACCAATTACCCTTTTACCTGTCTAGCTGACTGGATTTCTGTCACCTACATATAAAAGAGTTCTGACTAATAAAATTTCTAAGTTTCAGATAGTAAGTAAATACCGATAAATCCAAAAATGTAAAAAAAATTTAAACGGGTTATGTAAAATCTAACAGACAATACTACTGATATACTTTAGAGGTTCAAAGTAAATAATAAATACTATCATTTAGAATAATATTGGACCGTCTTTTTTCCTCCTGAATTCTCTTCCAAAGTTTTTTTATTGTAATCTTTGGATTTAATCTAAATATTATAAATATTTACCAAATAAGCTAAGAAAAAATTTAACACAAATTTAATACACAGAAACCAGATACATTTTATGTCAAGAGTCTGTAATATTTCTGGTGGATTTTCATGATTATGAGCTCTTCTGTTACATTTTTCTTTCAAAGTTGGTAAGTTATCTATAAAGGAACACTCTCTTCCTGGCCGGTCGTCTGTGAATGTATTTTTAAGCTTACACAAGGCACTTAATACATTAGACCATTTTCCCATAAAACATTTGAAAAGAAATTTCCTTAACTGGAATAATGGAAGCAGGTAGAAACAGAACTACATGCCACATTTACTATACTATTTCCTCTACCTTTCTAGAAACTGCCTACAAGAGGCTTGCTGTTCCTTCATTTACTCTTTCAAGCTCAAGAGTCTTCACAGTGTTGTCTCCTGTCTGTCTAGAATGCTAGTCCCAAGTGCTTTCCATGGCTGGCTTCTTTTAACCCTTCAGGCCTCAAAAACACTGCCTCCTCACAGAGGCTTTCCTCTGCCAGCCTTATCTAAAGTAGATGTGCCCTCCGACCCACTACCTTTTATCACATTACCCAGCTTAGGCCTTCACGGTATTAACCATAACCTTAATCACTCTTATTTGTGAAGAGTCAATCTTCCTTGTGTCCAGATTATAAACTTAATATTTGTGGGAAGGGGGTTGGGAAGGAAGGGAGGGAAGAAAAATGCGTAAGCATGCCGACTAGCTTCACTTGTAAAACAGGATTTCTCCATCTCACTGTTATTAAATTTGAGCTATACAATACTTTGCTGTAGGGGCTGTCCTGTGCATTGTAGGATGTTTAGCAGCAGCTGGGCCTCAACCCACTAGAAGCCAGGAGTTCCACCACCACCACCCCTCCAAGTTATGACAACCAAAAAAAGTCCCTAGATATCACCAAACGTCCCCGGCAGGCGAACTGCCCGAGTTGAAAGCCTGCTTTAAATGCACAACCACAAACATCAAGTGTACCGTCAGTTTGCCTGGCAATCCTACTACATATCCCCAATCTACCCTCCCACTCTACCAGGTTTTAAAAACTCTCCTCAAACCTCCCACAACCCACCCTCCATACATACAAGAAATGACCTCACTACATTCTTCACAGAACAAATGGAAGCATCTACGATCCTTCCTACCACCCTTTCTTCATCAGCGAAGACACACTCTACCCTCCTCTCATCTACAGCAGATGATATGCACCTGCTCCTGATGGCAAACCCTTCTTCTGGGACAGCACTTCTTCTACACTCAAAGACTTCAGGTCCCCTCACTTGCTTCCACGTTTTCACCTCTCATTCTTTCAACTCATTCCAATCTGGATTTTATGCCCACCACTTCAATGAAGCTGTCCCTATCAAGATCACCAAAATCTGCATCTGGCTAAATTCCAAGGTCAATTCTCAATACTTCAACTTACTGGACTTCTCAACGCTTCCGACCCAGTTACCACTCACTCCTTCCTGAGATACTTTCTTCATTTGGCATTAAGGACAACACAATGTCCTGAGTTTCCTTCCTACTTTATGTTTATTCTTTTTCAGTATCCTTCCCTTTGGCATAATGCACATATTTTTGTTTTGTTGTTTAAGATGGGAGAAATAAACCTGATTCTATTTTTCCTACCAGCTCCCACCCTATTCCTTTGCTTCCCTTTGCAGCAAAATTCCTTGAAAAAAATTGCTTATACTCATTGTCTCTTATTCCTCTCCTCACATTCTGTTAAACCTGCTCCAGCCTAGCTTCAGCCTCAACCCCACACCACCAACATGGCTCCAGTAAGGCCATCAAATAACCTTCACGTTGCTCATTCCGATGGTCAATTCTCAAGTCCTCACCTTAAAGGCAAGCATTTCTCAAGGGATTGCTTAAAGCAACGAGTACAAGCTAAAAAGTAAAAGAAACTTAAAAAATTTCAACTGACATCAACAATCTCTCTTAGCAAGTCTGCTTCTGAAAATATTCAGGCACCATCTTCTTCAAACATTGTACAAAGCCTGTTTGCAGAACCCCTGTGAAACTACAAAATCACTGCTTGAAAGCAGATGTCAATTTAGTATTGCAAATGAACACAGAGTGACTCCAGGAGTGATTTCAGCAACTGATAATAATGCAAGAACAAATTTTTTTCATTATGTCAAACTTTTAAACTAAAGTTCATAGAATTATAATTAAACTTTGATAGATTTTCAAACTTATTCACGTATTCCATAAATTTATTCTATGATTTTCTGCTTTGGCCTTGGCAGAATATTGACATTATTGGCCAAATGTTTATTTGATGCACCACTGATTAAGTATACAAAGTAAATCTTCAAGATAAAACCAAACCAAATCTATTACCATCAAGTTGATTCTGACTCATAGCAACCCTATAGGACAGAGCAGAACTGCCCCATAGGGTTTCCAAGACTGTAATCTTTACAGACACAGACTGAGACATCTTTCTCCCACAGGGTGACTGGTGGGTTTGAACTGCCGACTTTTCGGTTAGTAGCCTAGCGCTCAACCACTGCACCAGAGTAAAGATTCAATAAATACTTATTGAATTAATAACCTTAAATAGGTGGGATCCAATGGCATTTCTTTCATTTAAAAGTGCAGTTAGGTACACAATAATTTAAAGGACAGGGAGAATCACAATTCCTTCTTGGCTTCCGAAATGGCTGCAGTTCACAGTAGAAGTCTGGCAGCCGACAGTACTGAAAAGACTAAAATAGTCTTATGTAAGAAGTACAAAGCCCCCAGTAGTTGAATGCCCGCGTAGTGGAAATAATCAACTCAAACAAGTCTACCAGTAAAGTATCTTGTAATAATTATCCTAACATTATGCTGTTATGCTCTACAGATTACACTAATTACTTTTCAACCTTCTCCACTTCTCTCTCTCCCTTTCTTCTCAAGAACAGAAGTTGCCAAGAGTCAGTATCTTTTGTTCTTGCACAATGATAACGACCAGGCAACAAATAACTATTCATTAAATGGCATACACCAAGAGTTGCCTTTATCCCTTGCCCTTGTTTTCTGATTGCTATGCGGTAAACAAGTTTAAGCAGAACCCGAGACTACAGAATTCAACTCTTCCCCTTACCCCGATTCCACATGACTTAATAAGCAGACTTAGTGTCCCCTCTGGGACTTTATATTCAGTATTTTTTTTCCTCCCACCTCAATTCCTAGAGGATCCGCACGTGAGCTCCTCAAAAATTAGAACTGAAAAGTAGCAGGAAAATGTTACACTGTTGTACTTAAACATGAGTAAATGAACACCGAGTAGCCAGAGAGGTGGACTATGCTATTTACCTATTATCTCTCAGCCTCAAGTGTTTCCTCTCAGAGGCCTGGGCACCTCACCTTGTGGGGTTCCTCCTTTGAGCGCCTGGGTTCTGCCTAGCCCATCTCTTCCCTTGTGCCCCCCCACCCCAGAAGTGATAGTTGCTTCCTGTGGTTACTATTAATATCTGACTTATCTGAGCATCTTCTTTCTGCTCTTTTAGGCTTGCAACACTTCTGTAAA